TGCTCTGTACATGACGGGTGCGGCGCCCCAACTCCCCAATCAGCCCTGCTCTGAGCCTGACCAAGGTCTACACCTAGGGATTGGGCCTGCCCTCTGCCACCCGGGAGCAGGCCTAAGCCAGCAGGTCATTATCTCCCGAGGGGTCCCAGACTGGAAGAGGGCACAGGCTGGGCTGAGGGACACCTCCCGCCCCGCGAGCGCACAAATTTTTGTGCACTGGGCCTCTAGTTAGAATCATACGATCCTATAAAAACAATGTAATAGATTTCCAGAGCAACCTGCAAAGGGTTACCTAATGTAGAATGAGACAGAGGATCTCACTGGTAATGTCAGGTTCATTTCTGCAGGTGGGATGCTGGGAGCCAACTCCTGCAGGTTAGAAGGAAAAAGGTGGAGGATGGGAGACATAGGCAAAATTCTGGAATAGGTAAAGAAGTTTGTCTTTGGTCTTCTTTTGTCTTCTTTCTACTGCCTTCTCTCTCAGGTGCCTGGTGCTCTTAGGTTATCCCAATTTCCCATGGTGGGCCTGGCCCTAGTGGGAGTCACAGAGACTCCCTTTCCTGAGGGGTAGCATGTGGCGCCCCACGGGCTGCTTTTGGTTTAAAAATGTGCTTTGTTCACACAGCATTTTAAACATTAGCAAAGCAAAAGACTAATAAAATCTTGACTTTTGGCCTCTTTTTTTTTTTTAACCAAGTTATTTGGAGCTGATTTGAAGTGGAGCAAGTGCTCTCCACTGGCAGCAACGCCCTTCACTCCTTGTCATGCTGTGTCATTTGTCCTCATTACCAGGCTTACGTGGTATTTTTTTAGTTAAAGAGAGAGGGAACTATTTCTCTTAATCCCTTCACCTTTTTCACCTAGTCCCATAACCCCCTTCCCATCTGGTAACCATCAATTTGTTTTCTGTATCCCCAAATCTCATGGTCTTTGATATTTCGCATATGAACACATACGTCATAATATTAAATTATATTAGACCACAGGAAAGCATGTTTACTTGTCTGATTAGCAAAATAAGGACATAATTGTGTGGCTTACATGTAGTTTGAAAAGCTGCCTCTAGGAAGGTAAAGAGGTGATATTACCTAGTATTTAAGAATTATTCTTCATCTGGCTTTTAACAATAATGTGACTTCATTTAGAGCCTGACTGTTTTCTTAGGTTTGGAAATGGATGTTTCGTCACTGTTTTTCTTGTTTTCAGGCCTGATCTTACTGATGAAGAGTATGTAAAGCTTTTCCATTCTATTAATGGGTAAGTTGGTGACACTGGCTTGATACGGTGTGTGAGATCTATGTTGTCGGCTCTTGCAAAAAAGGACACATAAGTATTCCACGTGTTTCTGTGTAACCGTCTTACAGTGGTGTACCATTAGTTTTCTGAGTTCTTTCAGAGGAATTACATTGTTGAGAGAGAGGTGCAATTGTCCTGCAGAGAAGGAAGCATAAGAAATTAATGTTACACAGTAGACATATATCATTTTTTTAAATGTGTGACAGTCTTTGTTCTTCTAATGCCTGTCTTAAATATTTTGAAGCCACTTTGAATGGCATGGCATATTGCTTGCTTGGGGGATTTATAAATCTTAAGCGTAAGGATACTACTCAGTTCTCTTTCAGAAGGTGATTTGAATAGAACTTGGAAAAAATTGTCTACACTGTGGCATCACCAAAAAAGTTATGATTGGTTACCTCACAGAAAAAACACAACTTTTAATAATATGAAAAAATGTTCACCCTTATGCATAATTAAAGGAAATCTAATTCTAGCAATTAAAAAACATTTTTAAAAACTATCAAGTTGACAAAGATCAGAAAATTCGTTAATATTGTTTGGTGAAGATGCGAAGAAATAAGTATTCTCATACTTTGCTTATGGCTGTGTAAGTTACATAGTCTTTTGGGGGCCAGTTTTGTTAATATCTATTGCAATTAAAAATGCACGTACCCTTTGAGCCAGGACATCCTTTGTAAGGGATATTATTTTATAAGTCTATACCCCCCACATGTGTAGAGTTGGGTCCAAACATATGCACTATAGTATTGTTTGAAATACGCTCAATTTCGAAGCCACCCATTAGCCCATCAGTTGAGAATTTCGTAAATAAAGGAGGCTGTCTGCATCTGATAGAATGTATGACAGTTTAAAAATCAGGATCTGTCGGTGCTGCTTTGGACCCTGTTGTTACTTGAACAATGTGATATTATACGAAAAAAGCAAGGCACATAGTGGTATGTATGGTACACTCCCGTTTACTTTGGTTCTTAAGGTAGGGGTGAGGGTGACACGTGGAACAGAAATCTGTCAGGTCAATGAAACAGATTTTAGCGGTGGTTGTTCCTGATTGGGAGTGGGATGGAGGCAGTCTATGTTACTGTAAAGTTTTTATAAAAAGAGCTTTTTTAAAAAAATTTTTTTAAAAAGCTGTATTCATTTATTACAATTTTTTTAAAAAGGCTGTGTTCAAAACTTGCCTTCGGACTTCAGTTCTTTTATTTTTTGTTTAAAGATCTGCTTTTCTTATTTATGTATTTATTTATTTATGTATGTATTTATTTATTTTATTGTCTAAAGTTTTACATATGTCTCCTTTTTCTCCAATTGGCCCTTCCTCCCCGCCCACCATTCCCATCCTGGGCAAGCCCCCACCGCCCCAGTGTCTGTGTCTATTGGATATGCTAATATGCATGCATACAAGTCCTTTGGTTGCTCTCTAATCTCCCCTCCCCTACCATTTGTCTCTAGATCGATCTATTCTTGTTCATCAAATAGACTTCAGTTCAATTTGGTTCAGTAAATATTTATTATAAAATTAGTTCCATTTAGTAAAACATTTAAAATCCCCGTTATGTTCAGTGTTCTTTGGCCCGGGCAAGAATAAACAAGCCCAGGCTGGACTCTGTGCTGGAACCTCCACATGGTCACCAGGAAATGAGCACTGCTCTGCCACTTCAGAAGCACCGTCACGGTCCCTGCGATGCAGTAGAGCCCTTCCCGTGTGGGGGTGCATGGAGGTGGAAAGGCAGAGCCTGGCTTTAAAGGAGTTTGCCAACTGGGAGGGGCGGCCAAGCTTTGCTTTATGAAAGGATTTTGTGCTTAAACATACCAGGTTTGATCAGAGGCAGCTTTGTAAGTACTAAGTTGATGAAAAGGGAGAACTGCTAATGGGTTTTCATTAATCCACTTTGAATTGTAGGATTTTCTGCATGGTTTTGTGGCAGGTGTTCCACCTCATACTTTTTATGATTTTATACTGAACTGTGATCTTACTAACAGGAAAACTTACTCATCTCTGGCTGTCCAGGCTAATACTGAGCCTGGCTCATGCAAGATGCAGAGTATAGTTGTTGAATGAACAACCATCTCAACAGCATTATTTCACATATCTCAAATTCATAGTTAAGTATTTTCAAAATGTTAATACCTTTTTAAAAAATCTATATATTTTATTGATTTTTTTTACAGAGAGGAAGGGAGAGGGATAGAGAGTTAGAAACATCGATGAGAGAGAAACATCGATCAGCTGCCTCCTGCACACTCCCTACTGGATATGTGCCTGCAACCAAGGTACATGCCCTTGACCGGAATCGAACCTGGGACACTTGAGTCCGCAGGCTGACACTCTATCCTTTGAGCCAAACCAGTTAGGGCAAAATGTTAATACATTTAATCTAACTTTTATAATCTCTTTGGACTATCCCTGCTTATTTCAAGACATTATAATGTTTAAAGTTTAGAATTAGTTTAAAAAGTTGATGTAAAAACATAGTAAATATTTTTCTATTTCTTACCTTTATGGGTAGAATAAAATAAAATGAAATGTTTGCTCCTTCCCCCACGTTCCCCCACCTAGACTTCTAGAAATGGGATTGTGTTCTTTTTCAAAACTCTTCTAATCCCATGCTTATTACTGAAGAGATTTCAGGGTGATAATATAGCATTAAATTCTCATGGATATTTAGTTTTAGCGTACATATATTTTTATAATCAGTTTGTACTTTATGGTTAAGAAAAACTTCTTTGTGAGCCAAACCTGTGTCATGATTAATGGACCTGTAGTTGATGCTGGCATCACGGATCACCTTCCTGTAAACCTACCTGTACTTGGGATGTTATCTCTACTTGATTTCTAGCTCTGTGTGCTCTCCTTCTCCCCATGTATTCACCTTGCCAACAATAAACTTGTTTATCAAAGGAGTTTTGGGAGAATAGGCACAGAAGTATTCTTAACTTCAATAATTTACAAATGGGTAGGATTGTAAGTATTTCATACTTTCTTTTGCCTTGGTTTTCTCATTTTCTGTAATGATCTTGTTGCTTATGTAATAAGGAAGGAGTTGTTTTGAAATAAAAAGATGGTTTGGTTTCTGTCGGGCAGGATGGAAATGCTTTCTTTCGGATGTTGTTTCAGGGTCCTCTTCCCTGGAGGAAGCGCTGACCTCAAGAAGTCAGGTTATGCCCGCACAGCCAAAATATTTTACAGCCTTGCCACACAGGTAAATATCAGTTGTTTCTTATTATTCCAGATGGGGTTTTAAAAATACATGTTTTTATTTATCTTTCTTGAAGAGTGAGGAAGGGAGAAGGAGAGATAGAAACATAATGAGAGAGAATCATCCATCAGCTGCCTCCTGCATGTCCCCTATTGGGGATCGAGCCTGCAATCCAGGCATGTGCCCTGACTGGGAATCGAGCCTGCGACTTTTTGGTCCATGGGCGGACCCACACCAACTGGGGCCCAGGTGGATTTTTGTAATTTTCCATGGGGATAATTCCTTTTCAGGCATACGATAATACTTCCTTCATAGTTACTCCAGCCTCATCATCCCCTCACCTCATGAGGTGTCTGCTCATGAGTAGCCAGTGGTGGCTATCGCTCATTTTCTATTTCATTTAATTCTGGGCTCCGGGGGCCCTTCAGAGGCTTGCTGACCGGCCCTCTCTGTTTGTGCTCGCTAATGTGAACTGGGTCCTCATGGTGGCTTAGTAGGCTGTTTTTTTATGTACTGGGCGTTATTCACATATTACTAATTTTCATCTGCTCTTGAAAGCTGCTCTTTGTCCCCACCTAGTTGATGTATCTATAAATTCTGAGATAATGGAGGAAGGAGTGTGTTCAAAACCAGACAATTATCCAAAGCGACAAGATTTATACAAGATGTAAAAATAGGCATTTTATCTAGCATCGTCTTTAATATTTATAGTCCCTGTTACTTGTATTATTTGGTAGTTGACTGGCAGATGTCCGTTTCTTTCCCAAAACAACTGAGGTTGGCTAGTTTGTTTGATTAAAACGGAGTTATTGTGTGGGAGCTTGGAGGTTAAATGGCAACTTACGTTTGGAACCTGGAAAATGCTTCAGAAACGCATGTATCTCTCAGGTGCCGGTCTTGTAATAACAAACCAAATGTACAATTTTTGTTTTGAAAAGGTTGAGTAAGCTTCGTTTTCTCTTTCAAAGAGTTTTGATGATGGAGACTACTTTCCGGTGTGGGGTACATGCCTTGGGTTTGAAGAGCTTTCGTACCTGGTCAGTGGAGAGTCATTATTAACACACACAAATACCGAAGGAATCACAATGCCGCTGAACTTCACTAAAAGTGAGAATTCTCCTTTTGACCCTTTAAGAAGCATTAGCTGGGTAGGATTAGTAAGTAGCAAATATCAAGTAAAAAGTGCCCATGACATTTATTAACTTTTAAATTATTTACACAGGCCAGAGTTGTGAATGACCATGTTTGTACTCAAATTATGAGGGTGGCTTAAGAAATTTTAAATTTTGATAACTCATTGCTTTGACTGGAGAATAGTGGTTTTAGTGGATTTTATTTTTCTGTGTTTAAATTCTTTCCCTTGTACTTACCTTGTTTCAGGTATATTGCAGAGCAGAAT